AAAGGGCTTTAGAAGGATAACAGTCCCTGTGGAGTGATTGTTGGTCATCTAAGAACCGCGGCTAACATTCTGGGGATAAGTGGGGGAGTGGCGTCGCGAAACGGTCACGCACCAAAAGTAGAGAATAACACAGAGCGACAATTCCACCGCTGTTGTTGCGCAGGCTGAGAGAACAGTGTCGTCAGATTATATTGCAAACTATCGTCCGATTGCTTCTGTTTTTCATATCACCGTGCAACGAGCTTGAAAGCACAAGTAAAAAGATAGGACTTTGACACCCTGTATGATACTATTCCTTCTGAATAACAAAGGGACGTTTCTGGAGATCGCTGTTGATGTATGATTCTACAACTAAAGAGCTAATACGCCCATGACGGCAACGGTTTCGGGAGCCTCGATCGGATCATAGGGCCGAAAATAGCCGAAATAATGGTTTTAGGAATTTTCTTTTGTAAGCTCTTATTTTGATTCTGAAAACAAGTATCAACAGAGAGTTCTAGTCCAAACAACGTCGAATCCTCCGTAATTTGTTGAGGCGACATCCCAAGATGAAGGCATGGCCATTGCGAAACCTCACTCGAGTCCACATATGTAGCTGTCAAAGCTACAATCTTCCAAATTTGACAGCCTAGACTTTTGCAGACATGATTTCCGTAGGTTTCAAGATAGCTTATGACCGATCGTTTGGTCAGACTAGACACTGCGCCTTGTAGAACCCATGCTATAACTAGGGAATTTTGTAGAGGTGGGAACTACGAAAAAGGGTTTTATAAATCGCAATCAGGAACACCACTAAAGGGAGACCTCAACTAAAATTAACCGTAAATGCGCCAGTTGGTAGTTTTAAACAAATCAATTCCACTTAGTTCCACAACCTGCTCAGTTTCATCATTGCCATATATAGTGAAAACCAGAAAATCTACTAACAAGTTACCTCATTTGGGATAAAATCTAACGTTTAAACGCCTGGGACGAAATGTTTTCTTTAAACTCGAATGAATACTTTTTCTTGATGCAACATCACTTAAAAATTTGCTGGGAACGCTTCCACAGCAGCCTTTAAAAGGTGATGAGAAGTTTAGGGAAATTCTACAACCCCCATATCTGTTCAATCGAAACATGTGACCACCGTGTACCGCAATTGGTAGAAGAGTAGCATAACCAGAGAGGTAAATCGGGATTCAGTTGCGCTCTCAATTAAAGCCAAATTAATTTCCTGAATGACTACAATTTGTTAAATGACTAGTATTAGGTCTGTATTAGTCAGTAGAGTCTCTGGAATTTTTCCTATTACATACTTCCTACATTTTTTCCAGCTTTCGTCGTAATCGAAAGGAACTGAAAGGAAGCCGAGAAATTTGTACATTCAAATCACCCGTGACGTGCTATGGTTCCATTGGACGCCCGTTTTTGCAAAGTGGTTGATTACCGGGTCCATAATCGGCGTAGTTGTCTGATTTACGTTAGTTACTTCAAACGTGTTAGTCAGTTATGGTAGTCAGCATGATCCCTGCTTCTCATTTAGATAAGCTGTGACAACCAAGTGTCGCACAAATATCTGTTAACTTCAACCGGGCTAAACCTTACAATGTTTGAGGCCTCCGATTGTTTGTTCACTGAGATGGTTGTCTCACACTATAGGTAACAGATCGAAACGATGGATACAATCCTGAGTAAACACGTAGAAGTTTGGAACTGAAAACAAATACATCTAAGAAGCCCGAGAAGTATTGTTGATTGCAAAAAGAAATTGGCTGTAATAACTGTAAACGTTCATGGTATCCTGGATAACATGGGGTTTCTATGTGAGACTAGCTTTACACTCTTTACCCTGTTGGGATCTCGATTTCACAAATACTGCTCTGAACGGAAGACGCAGACTTAATCAAAAATCTGGCACCATTGACGCGTAGCACAATCGAAGTTCTAAACTCCCATCCTACTTAGTCAGTATGTATTGGTGATTTTGCTGACAACATGCTTCGAGTGAATCCTGGTCGGTGCGCAACCCGACGACGATTTGCACAGAATATGGACTGCTTTCCCTATCTTGAAATGCACATTTCTAAACCGAACTAAGAACGCTCGCGCGGTAAGGAAGCGGAATAACGCTATTTGTGCATGTTGTGACGAATGACCTAATCATGGTATCGCAGCCAGGTTCACATAAACGAAAGTGGTGTAAGCGGTGTAGGCAGTGTCCAATTCGGAAGCTGACACCCTATAAATTAATTAGAAAATCACTCAGTCATAATCTAGTTGTTCCAAATGGGAAATCTGGTGAGGTGGTTGAAGAAGATAAGGTAGAATGGCAATGTTTCAAAGATAAAATCAGATGGCTCACAGGGAGATGTTGCAAAAAAGTTTCAGGTAAAAAAATATGTTGGGTCAGTCAAACATCCCTCGTTGAGTAAACTTTTAAGCAAAGAAGGTTACTTAAACATGAAGCTTGAAGCAGACAGCTCTACGACGGATTTTTTGTCAAAAATACGATAACAGCAATCATTCGTCTATAAACGTGGTTCTGCTTCAAACGCCCTCAAGGAATTGCTTGAGCCAATCTCGTTTACCTAATGATCACCAGTGTACATGTCAGTCATTCTTGAGGCTATAACCAGGTCCTGGATAGGCAAAAGCTGACCGACATTCCAGTACCTGTCAGAAGTATGGTTACGATATCTTCACCGAAGCAACTAAGTCGCAACGAGGTACCCACCATTTTATTAATAAAATTTAACTTCGGTTATAATTAATCGTTAACCAAACAATGACGATCCATAATAACTAGCAATCATCAATCTAGACTCTCTTCACTGCCGGTATTCACAACTCTATTCTAGTGCACATTGTTACATCCGGGGGCGACACTACAACGGGTACCAAAATAACGCCCAGTTGGTGGAAGACCAGTGATAACAACCCAACGCTACGCCTTCCGCAACCGTGGAATGCCTCATCAGTTGATGATTTAATAGACTCAGTGGCTTACCTTACACGGGACGGAGTAGCACTACAGTTGGAACGTCCTAGTGCAAAATGGTATAGCCGTACACTGCTTCTTAAGCCCTGTAACTCAACTATTGCTTGCGGGTATTTCTGGGCCATCTGGTTAAAGTAGAATATGAATTGAAAAACCTGGTTCTCCATCGCAAAAGCGTGTTCTACTATGACAATGAGCCCAACAACGCTTAATTCGATTTTTCACTTTAATCATATTTGATCATTTCTCTGGTGGTGACATTTTTCGGTAGATGGTGTTGATAGCGTACCCTAGACCGGTTTATCGACATGGTTCTCAGAGGTTTCTATCACTACGATGGGACAGTTAAGCTGTGATGCTTATGTCATTAACCGTTGAAGGCAGCAGTCGATTCTTAGCATGGAAAATGGTTGCTGAGGCCTGAATCGGGCAACTGGGAGACACCTGGTTAAACTAACAGTTCTCCTGAGGATTATTCAGTCACTCTGTAAAACCAGGATTTTTCTTCTCTTTGGTTCTTCCCTCAAAATTGTCCGTGAATGAAGATGTTCTGTTCACGAATTTTCTCTCCATACAATGAAGGTCTTAGTGGCTAGCCCGCAAAACTAACGCACAACCCATTTACCTGTTTAATCGACTGATCATCCTTTTACAAATGGAGAAGTCATTTTGATACACTCGGAGTCACCACCCGTAAATGTTACAACAGATTTATATATGGGATAAACGTTGGGGTAATAAGTGAGCCATCATTAAGTTGACAGGAACTTTGAAGTGGCTTTCGGTTTGTCCATCAATAGACGACTTGTTATATTTTCCCAGCTTAAGTGACAAAACTGTTATTGTTCTTCCCGCTATTCATTCTGTGACTGCTGTCTAGAAAGTTGTCGACTTAAGCATCTTCCGAAGGACGATTCGTCAACACATCGATAAGCAAGTTCATGTTAATTCATAATTGATGTTTATTCATAACAATAAAATATTCTCCTAGACGCTTTGTTACCGACGCGGAAATCGCCTTAATTTTGGGTCTGAATACAAACAACCTAGGCTCGCTTAGAAGGATGGAGTGGATTAGGGGTCGAGGCCGGCCCTCCCGGCCGGAAGGCTGTTTTCCTCGGGTCTCTGTTTAGATGCACCGCTTAAAGCCGCCAACAATTCGCCTCCTTCCAGGTTCTCCTGCGCTTATAAAGGTTCACCCATATACCGGTTATGGCAAATTATCGGTCTTGTCTCTCGATCTGTAACTGAAACGGAAGTTAATTTTGACCGATCAATCATTGTGCTACACTACAAAACAATGTAAGAACGTTCACCTATGGGCAGGCCTTTATGTACACCAGTGCACATGACGTCCCCTGATGGAATTCACTAGACAACAGTAAAGCTTAGTACCCACAGTCTTTACTCACACAGTGTAAAAATAGGCCACCCAAACGATCTTGGCAATACAGTCTTGTAGGAATTTCCTACAGTTCACGGAGCGAATAAGATTCCCAAATGCACTACACGCCATAGGCGGTTACTTGTTAACATACCGTTGTAGCACAACACTAAATGTGACTGCGTTCGGAACGTTTGCAGTAATCTGAAGTTGCAAAAAATTAACTCCTAAGTAATACATACATGCAAGAAATCACCGAAAAGTATCCTCATGCGCGCTTGTTTCAAGACGAGAGTCGGTAAAAACGTTTGTTCACATTGTTGCAAAAAACACCAATTTCACACCATATCAGCCCATCATTACAACTATTAGACTACTGCCGTGCAGATCGCGCACCTAACTTTGGGGAATAATAATCGATTTAATCGCACCTCGTGTTTGACATATGGGAAATCCTTTCAGCTCAAAAGGTCACTTGTGTGTTATTGCACGCACAAAAATGTATGATGATCACAATAAAATAAACCTAGTTCATCCTAATTATCAATCATAGCTCCCCATCCCCAAGAAATGATTGATAGTTGAAAAGTTGAACGCGATAGGCTAGTAATGAAAAACCACGTTAGTGGAACTAACCAAGTAATCCAGAGTGACCAGTTTCTGGAATGTAAGTGGAAGGTACTTTTCTGTCTGCTTCAGCCCTCTTCACGTGTTCCGCAATTCGATACATCCAACCTAATGCATTCTCACATTTCACACTCTTGTCCATCTCGTGCAATCCATACATTGCTGACCAGTAGCAGTAATGATGCTTGATAAGTTCCGAAGAGATATTCTTTTGAAAAATGTGACACCTTGAGTTCACACAACTCCAGAAAGAACTTCGTAGTGAGTGCTAATTCAGCACAGATGTTTCACCACGAACGACAGAGATTCGGCTCTGCGCTAGTACATATTTATAGTCTGGATCCAGTTTCGAACCAATCTATCATGTTGCATGTCCTACTCAACGTGTTGTGCTTTGTTAATCACGTATTCTCCGGTACTTGTGTGAGTCTACCACATTTAGTCTCGGAAGGACTGATGTAACGGTTAGCCTGGCCTTTCACGAAGTTGCCACCAAAGTGATCAGGCTGGACGGAAAGCGGTCCAAATCGGTAAAATGAAAAAGGTATGTTAGCATCTACCACCGGTAGTGCCTCAAACTGTGGCTAAAGTTAACCGTTAATAAACGCCCAGAATACAAACATTAAAGTTACCATTAGTTGCCGTTCTGGTAGGGTCAGCTTCATGCCCGTTGGTTGGTTCGTTGTGTGAGCTGACATAGTGCTCAATTATTGTGCAGTTACCTGCACAGTCGTGCACACTAGCGTTCGTGTAGCTAAACACCTGTTGTGTATGTATGCTAACCGATGTCGTGTTACTAGGTGCTAAAGCTAACCAAATCGCACTCCTTCTTGACCGACTACCAAATTTGTCATGTTGAGTGCATTGCTCTGCCGCATTCATAAAGACAAATCGATTTGCAGCCTCAAACATGGGAAAACAACATCGGCAATATATCCCCATTATATACTTCCGCCAGGCTCCAATAAACGATGTGCACACTATTAGAGCGAAAGTGTTCCACACTCAATCTGAGGTAAGGTAGTTTCACCATCGGGAGGTCAACAAATCGAACCATTGCTCAGAAGCTCCTATTAATGTGAATGATTTCGAAGAATTTAATCAAGTACATGCAAATATTTATCCAAAGTCATTGGCGAGATACACCACTGTTTCGTGAAGCGACAATGTTCTTCATTGCAGTATGATTAGGCTCAGTCTGGCAATTGAGGACAACCAACGGGCTTCTGTGGGTTGACATAGCCGAGCTTAATCATTTCGGATTTAAGTTAGAGTCAGATTCATAGGTAGTAATTCACACCGCTGGCGGTCAATTCCCTGTGAACTCGGTACGAAAGTCCACCGCGCTTAACAGCCGGTCGTATGTATCGATGCTCCGTACGTCCAATTTCTGCGGGGACAAAAGCGCTTACTTCACTGATGATGTTACTTAAAACATCATTAACATTCTAAAATTTAAAAGATGCGCATATACATATCCGTCCTTTTTAAAGTTGCAAAGCATGTTTGTTTATCTTTATCGTCGTTTAAACATTTCTTACGAAACACCGAGAGGTATGTGCATCAAACATAGAGATATTCCTTGTACAAATGTGACAAGCTGATATTTCATTGATGACGAGAACCACCAAGATTGTGATGAAAGGCGATTTCCGTCGTTCCTGGCTCTTCACAGAGGATGTCCAGGAATTTCAACTAACCACAATATCAACAAAAACCAATGCTTGCTTCAGTCTATCTATTTTCTGGGACTACCCAGTCCCCTCATTATCGTTTCCGGCGGAAATCCTATATGAAGGGGATCACTTTTATCAAATGAACAACTAAATCGGTCTTTCTCACACAGCACCTTTAGCCACTCACCTCCAGACGGGATGCGAGGTGGACCAAGTGATTAGAGCGCGAATTTACTGACCAGAAGGTCGGTGGTTCGAACCCGAACTCTGCCACTCAACTTCCCCTCTCTAGGCTTCGGCAGTATCCCAGCCCTCGTGCCTCCTTCGTGTGACATGGCTGCTAGGCACCGAAAGGGTGCTACAGCTGAGCGATTTTTTCAGACGTGTATTCAGTGATTTTTGAAAAGCTTCACTAACGCATCGCAAACACGCTTTTGAATTATCCTCACGGTCGTTTGCTAGTTGTCAAGGAAACGACAACCAGTTTTAAAGCAAGAATTAAGAACAAATGGTATGTTTTCTGGTAAAGTCTAACCAAGCTAGCTCTTTTTGATGAGATAAATGTAGTCAGTGGAAATTTTCTAGACAGCGTCGATCTTTGTTGGGGTATGTCCTGAACACCCACACGAAGTAAACAACGTTTTAAAATTGCACGGTTGACCTTGTAAGCTTCATATAGGTACATATTCGAGTTGCAAGAAATATCACAGCTCACCGTGTTCTTCATCTCATTTATCTTGTATTCTGTTAAAACTTCCATATAGATGGAGTTCCTTCGCCGCACATTTAACAGGTCACACTCGAATGATTCCCTGTTCTTTTCTTCTACCTTGTTCGACATCTTGTTTAGCCAACTACATTGATAAATTGAGAATTATTGTGCATGTAGTTCACTAAGAAACGTCAGCGGCAAATTTCATGTGATTTGGGAGTCGTTTAAACATGCAAATACAGTAAAAGTGAGCTGGTGTTGATTGAGACTTCAAACGGCAACTTATAAATAAAAAGACCATGTTAGCTGTAGAATGTTTACTGTTCTGGTCAAGTTACTCATATGACGCACGAGAAGATATGTTTTGAAGTTTTACATTTCATCCTGCCGGAAATCCCGAAAGCTTCTTATCCTAATCATCTGACAAGGGGAACGAAAGTTTGTTTAGACACTATCATACCATCCAAATGGAATTTTCAATGGTTCTGACAATAAGAAGCGCAAGAAACCCCACGAACTATTGAGTGATGTGTGTGCTATGAAAACAAATAACAATGAGAAAGCTCTCACTTGTCAAATACGGTCATCTAGGTTACATAAAGATTAGGAATTATTCAGAATATCTGTCTGATGTAAATTTCAAATCAGTACACTGACTGTCTCCCTTGTTAAACAGTCTATTGTCGGTAAATAATCGTGAGTGCTATGACAGTGCCTCTTGATGAAATGTTCCATTTATTGTCCTCGTTCAAGCCTCGTCTTGACACTTGGTGCTGTTTAAAGTTGATGCGTTCTGCCATATGCCTCATTATTCTGGGTGTCTATAGTGCCCATTACGGAAGTTTTCGAGTTGAAACCTCACCACACAGCAATCGTACTCAGAAAAGACTTCCATCTCCCTCGAAAAGAAGTCCCCTTTCCAGGATAGTCTGATGTAAAACGTTTTCACCCTGAGTTTCAAGGGAATCCCCATATTTAGACGGCTGACTCCAGTTGACTAGAAGTTTCGTATTTCTTTATTGGAGAGGTAGTTTAATAACAAAAGAACAATCATGAACCTAACCATGGCATTNTTATATCTATAGGGAAAAGCGGATGCCTGCAACTAAATGTCCAAGATTTGTCAAAACCAGTTAATCTGTTTAAATGCTGGTCTCAGAACTAATATCAGAGGCTTACTTTATTACGAGATGATCGTTGAACGTTTTCTTACATTGCAGCAGACAATATTCCCTTCATATACCACTTTACATGGTATAATTTAATTCCATTGTGTACGTGAAGGTTAATAGCCCTAGCCTGTTTGTTTGTTTTTTAGTCTATTCTTGGAATGCCTTATTGAATGTTCCACAAAACAGGAGCTGCTAATCGTTCAAGTCTGCATAAGCTACTGTCTGGTCTTTAGTATCCCACCCCATGAGTAGCGCTCAGATGGGATTCCTCTATTTGATAGAATGGCGGAGTTTGTGTTGCAAAATAATTAGTGAAAATGGCACCTTAGGACTACCCGAAATATAGGGATGATCATGGAATAAGTGACCAAAGTTTGTTAGTGGCCTATTCCCATTTTTGATTGTAACCTCCGCTTCTCTTGAAGGATAGGTCGTTCGACAAACTGGGATGAAAAACAAGCAAGTTCATCGCTCAAATAACGTAGTCAGAAGCAGAGAATTCGTCGGAAGATCGGTAAGTTCGACTGCAGGGACAAACATAAATCTTAATGGAGATGGGGAAATTGTCTGAGAACCGGTCCATTGTGATATAATAGGATAAAATCGAGCAATATAACCTAATAAACAATCAGAATGCCGTAGCCAAAGGTTATTCCTATATTTTCTGAAAGCCTGCAAAGTGATATTCAATGAAAAATATTATGGCTGATGAGAGGGCATACCTTAGGTGTGGTTGTGTTTAAGCTGCCTCTGTACGAATGTTTCTTCGGGGCGATATCAGTGAGAGCAAACTCGCTCATCCACACTGTTTGTTTATTCTTCCTTCTGGTTTGAGGAAGATAATTGCCGATATTTTGTTTCAATCAAGTCCACTTGAATCTGAGAAAGATCTGCTTCCTACGAAGCGAACTGAGTAACTGGTCACACTCCTCTGGTTCGCCTAATCACTACTACTCAGACTTACTGTTTATTGAAGGAAAATATTAACATCATATGTTTTTGGAATTTGAACTAATTTTCAAGATTCCCGACATCATTTTTTATCACATATCGGCATGAAAAAACGGTGTGTACTAACCTGTAAGCACGAATTCCTTTCAGAGAACGTTCAATGGGCAGCATTCCATGGGTTCAGTTGTGGAGTGCTTACGTCGAGTTGCATAGCATCTAAGGCCGTATTTTAATGCCGTTCGTCAGTTGGAACGTCACAGTGGAACTGCTGTGTTCACATAAAGCCTGAAAGGATTCATTTTCCGAAGTATGTCTTCTGATGTAAATTAAGCTCAAAACGATCCATGGCTGAGGTCATGTTAGGAAACGCTTGGGTTTCTCTTAATATGTTTGCTAGACGCCGGAACGCTTAACAGAAGACTTCTTTGGTCAGAGGATGTACCAAATCAATCCTTTTTTCCTCAGTAAAATGTAAATTTCAATACATCTGAATCAGTTTATTGTGCATCAGCAAGCCATCTGATGAGCTGTCTAGCCAAACACATTGAGTGAGTCCACTTGCTAACTAATTATTCCCCTTTGCTTCCCAGTGACTCTTCAGTTATCTGTTATAAACTTGTGAACTTTCACTTATACGGAGTTCAACACCGTACTTTCCCCTTTTGACTGCTTTAAGGACCAAAGTTTGTGGTCTGGACCTAAGCTGTCAGCCATGTTTAGCTCCTCGTCCCGCTGGTTACATAACTGCAGTACCTAAGGTGACTTATTGCGCCGATATGTTATCATTGCACGTGCGCATCTAGTCACATCCACTGTGTTCACCCGGTAGCAATACAATTTACTGATACAATAGTACGCCACTTTCGGTTATCCAGGTCAAT